AAAAAAAAAAATAGCTGATCTTGAAAGAAATCCCCCCAAATGGGAAATCTTTGGGATTTTCCAAGAAATCCCCCAAAACAAAGAAGATACAGAATGTCATGAAGGTGACTGTGTGAGCTGACACTGAGGCTCCTGAGTGATCAGTTCCACTGAGCTCTGTGTTTGAGCTTCAGCACCCGTGAAGGGAGAGGCCTTGGTGAGGTGTTGCAGCCAGTCCCAGGCATTGGGAAGGATTTTTGTCAGATTACAACCCTCATGAGGTGCTGGTAGGTGAGAAGAGGCCTGTCCACCAGTATGGGCTGACTCACCTCTGTGTGACTTTGGGTGAGGAGAGATTGAACCCTTGCCCCTGTGTTTCATGCAGGGTTGAACTTTGAGTTTATACTCCTCAGTGTAGTGAATCACTTAGCCAAGGTTCAAATGTCAGTATTGGTTCCAGACAATGACACTCGTGGAGTCGCCGGCCAGGGGAAGCACAGAACCACTCTGGGAATGCACCACAGCTCAGGTACTGAGAGAATCTTATGGAGGAAAAAAGAAACTTACACAGTGATGAGCTCTCAGCAAAAAATGACAAAAGCTTAAAAGATATTCCACAGTGAGGGGAGTCAGTAGACACCACAGATAGAAGTAGAGTCCCCAGAACTTGAAATGTATCTTGGCAGTCGAAAAAGAGAAGAAAAGCCCTGCATTGATTTTATTAGACCAGAGTAAAGCTTACTGGACAACCGTGTGAAAGAAAGGAAAATTATAGGCCAGTCTTACTTTTCATAGATACCAGAGTCCTAAATAAAGCATTAGGAGAGTCAGCCTTGCAGTTGTGTGCATATGAACAGGCACAAATTCATAATCCACAGGTCGAGATGATTGAACCTAAGAAGCTCTGTTAATATAGGCTAAAGAAAAACAACTTTCTCAATAGCTGCAGTGTAGTCTGAGGTTACATCCTCTCGTAGGACACGTATCCCTTATGCATGGATCACTGAGAGTGATCACGCACTGTGTGGCTAATATTGCTGTACCCTACAGAGGCATGAAGAAAGGTGGTTCCAGGCAGGGTTGGCTGAAGGGATGACACAGCTGTGATTAATAACTCCAGCACTGTTTAGGGCCTACTGAGTCCAGAATTAAGGCAAGGTTGTGTCTGGTGTGTCTTGGGAACATTTAGGTCTTTCCTCTGATAACGTAGATGTCGCTCTTTTGTTTCAGCTTTTCTTCTTTGGGGCATGTGGCCTGCATGGCTATCTGCTCCTACCAGTATCCAGCCGCCATGGCTTTCTGCTTCCTGGAGACCTTGTGGTGGGAATTCACAGCTTCCTATGACAACACCTGCATTGGCCTAGCGGTCCGGCCATATGCCTTTCTGGAATTTGGTTTGTAACCTCTTTCATAGTTATTGTCTGTTATGTGGCATTGCAGGTGTAGAATTTACAGTTTGGGTTTAGCTTTGACCCTCAAGGAAAACCACTTGAAATGCTATAATGTGTCACTGAAGAACAGCTTTGTACCATGAGATTCCAGAGTCATTGAAGTGTCCTGGAAAGCTTCAAGGTTTAACACTCTGGCCTCCAGAGCCTGGAGAGAGGGTGGAGGATGGTGGAACTTGTACTTGTCAATGAGTAATGGCTGAGCTAAGATTCAAGCCCCTATTCTTGGACTACCTTGTACTGAGGTTCTGGAAGGCAGTATTGCCTTCTTTATAGAAAGATTATGCCCTAATTACTCTGCCTCAAAGAGATTGGTAAGACTACTAGTGACAAGTGTCATCATATGACCTTTATGTGTAGCTTTATGCTTGCCAGAGTCTGGCTGATGTATTAGCTTGCTTAAAACTGCATCTTGGTAGATGCTCTAAAAGGGATCCAGTCATATGGGCACAAAGTAAAAAAGAAAATTAAAAAAAATTACCTATCCCCTAGTGGGTAAATGCCTAGTTAAAGAGTTTTGGCCCACGGTAGGCTTACTGAGACCTGAAAGCGTGCCCCAAGTCTAAGATACCTTCTGGAGGGGAACCACAAGAAAAGAGATAAGCAAATTTCAGAGGATTAGTGCAAAGAGGAAAAAAAAAGAAAAAAGAACTGCATCTTGTATGAATGTCTTCTGTACTCCATTCCAAGGAAAATGCTCAATTTGGATTGCTCTGTCCTTGCAGACAGCATCATTCAGAAAGTGAAGTGTCACTTTAACTATGCAAGTTCTACTCAGATGGGGAGCAGTTTAGAAAAAATTCAGGAGGAGCTCAAGTTCCGGCCTCCAGTGTTTCTCACTCTGGAAGACACAGATCTGGCAAATGGGATGATAAATGGTCACACACAGATGCACTTGGAGCCCGGTACGTGACCTGCTGTTCTCCGATGTTGATGTGATGTTGATGAAGTGTGATATAAGTGTTTCAAATGGGCATTGCTTTTTTTTGTCTTTTTTTTTTTAAGTAGAAAGTTGTTTTTTGAAGTCTGGGGAGAGGAAGGTGTCTAATATGGACTGCCTGTTTCCAGGTGGTTGTTATGAAAAACTTGGATATTAATGATAGTAGGTTGATCTAAGGGAAAGCAACTCATGAAATTGAGAAGAAGAATGTCTTAGCAGGTTCTTTTCTTAACAAGGGTGAGATCTACAAGTTTAGATGTTGTAAGGGGATTCATTCTCTTTTACTAGAAGTCACTTGGTAAATGGTAGACATTTGTACATATTCCCTCTCCCTCTCTTATCCTATCATATCATGTAGTGATATATTGCAGTGCACCCCTCCGCAGGAAGCCTCTGACCTCCTTGGTGGAGGCAGCAGGGAGGCTGTGAGCACAAGAGTGGGCAGAGGTCAGAGCTGGGGCTCTTCTTCTCTGATCTCCATGAGACCTGGGGCATCCTTCTGTCCCTGTGCATAGTCTTTAGTTGAAGATTGGGTGTCAGTAGGCAGGAGCACAGAGCCCTGGCATTCCAGGCTTGCTTTGCTAGTGACCCTTAGCTACTCAGTGCACAGAAGGAAGCAGGATCCCTGCATTGCTAACTTACAGTTACATATAATTAAACCCACTTCTCTCAATGGTAATAAATGCATTTCATTGATTTTCTAGACAGGTCAGCTCTTGCACTAGATTTTGACAATCTAGTGAACAATGACAAATTATTTCTCCCACAGAGCTTTAACCACACCTTCCCAGATAGTAAAAATACATGATTGAACTAGATCTAATACATATCACCATTTCCATTACATAATAAATTAACAAGTATTTGAATATTAAGTGACAGAGCTTAAAAGGCATACAGAAATCAGATGTCTGCTCAATCAGTTCATTGGCACATAACCCACTTTTTTTTTTTTTTGGCAATAGAATAAACAAAGTTAGTGCATATTTACATTCTAAGAATTCTGTCCTCTGAAAGAGAGAGTTGTCTATACTATAACAGTCTAATTATTTTAACTGTTTGATACTAAACTAAATTGCTTGAAGTTTTAAAGTGGTGTATTGAAAAATGTTTACATTTTGGCATAATTCTGTGTTTTATTTTAATTTGTTCCAACCAGTAAACTTGTGGATTGGCTCTCATACCAATTAATAAGTTGTAATTTATTTTGAGAATGAACTTAACTTTTATAGAAGACTGTTATTGAAACCCAAGCTTCTCCTTTGCTATCTCTGAAGATGTGGGTAACTTTGTCATCTATGTTTTGTTTTTTTAAACACTTAGACAAGAGGAACAAATCCAGAAAGTGTCAACTTGCCCACGTTGCTAAGACATTTTACTGTGGTTTGACTCACCCTATTATCCTGAGGCTAGAATCTTTACAGGTAGCATGTTCTGTTTCAACAGGCCTTTGAATTACTCACTGTAGTTTCTAACACACTAACAATAATCATCTGTTGGGTAGCAGTAGGGGTGTGTGTGTATGAAATATAAGGACAAGAAAGGATGATTTAAAAAGCGCATAGAAAGAGAATGGGTAGACCAAAATCAATTTCAGCACTTATATTTAAAGAGAGAAGGATCACTTGTTCTAATTAGAGTTCCAGAAATAGCTTGTAGCTTAAATAATATTTCTCTTCTCTTCCCAATTATAATTAAAAAATGCATATGGTATGAATTCTGGAAGCACACATGACACTGGATACTGTCTTATCAGGAAAAGGCTATAGCATTTTACTAGCTGAGGTATACAATGGAAGTACTTTCAGAATTTGGCAGCTAGTTTACAAATGAAACCATAAATTGCTTTAAATCATTAGGCTCAGCCTAAGTCTTATTGACATGTACTGGAAAATTCCTTCTTGTAAGGCTGTCTTGTGCATTGTTGGATGTTTAGCACCTGCTAAATGGCTGCAGTTGTGAGAACCCAAATTGTCCCAGGACAGTGCAAAATGTCTACTGAGGGGCCATTTCACCCCTGGCTTGAAAAGCATTGCTCTAAATAGAAAGAAAATTGAGCACTTGTAAAACCTGTGCGTGCTCTGATAGAAACTCACCTCACATTCCCTGATCCATTCTGTCCTTCATTTCTTGCCTTTCTCCTGCCTAACCACAGCTGCTTTTAAAATCAACATGTCTGTAATTGTGTGTTTACATAATGAACTTATCATTAGTGGAGATCTAGTTAATGTCTTTGTTTATTTTTCTCTCATATAGAAATTATTTTCACTAGCCACTTATTTTTTTTGTGAAGCTCCTACTTTCCGAATGGAACCAGTGACAGCCTTGGGTATCCTCTCCCTTATTCTCAACATTATGTGTGCTGCTCTGAATCTCATTCGTGGAATTCATCTCGCAGAACATTCTTTACAGGTAACTTTTTCTTTACAGTTTAAAGAGAAGGGCACATGATGAAACTGGTGGGGCTACATTGTACGTTTAAGGCTATTATGTACTAAGGTTTTAAAGTTTCAAAATTTTTTTTCTGATTTTATTCTTTGGAGCAAGTTGGGAAAATACACAAACTTGCTGTTTTGTACCTGTTGCCCTCAGAAGTTAAGGGACCTGCTGGGAGATTGAGAAGCAGACAGCTGGCTACCAGGGAGCCTCAGATCACCTCATGTCCCTTGGGGTCACAGGAGTCACTTCAGTGGCTGGGTCTTTCTCCTAGGGCAGAAGTTTGATTCTCAGACTTTAAGAATCAGGCCCCTTTGTTCCCTGGGTAAAGTTGTCTCATGGTCTGATTTATATCATCCAGATACCACTTCCTTATTTCTTGGCCAAAGAACTGTACACTAGGAAGTTGATAGGCTAGTTCCACTCATCTCAAAGCAATTTTCTGTTAAATGCTTTTAAAATATTTTTTTAAGTTTTTCAAAAACCTTTCCAAAAGGACAGAGCCAATCTGAGTAGAAAAGGTATTACTTTTAAAAATGGGGCCATAATGCTGCCACCGTGTCTCAGTGCATGGAGTGTCTGAGACATTGAAAATGGTTGCATGTCAACCCCTGTCTGGTACATAAACAGGGACTTGGGTCTCACCTAGCCAGGGATTGTCAGATTCAACCAGAGCAGGATGACAAAGGAGTATTTTATGTTATAATATTTCCTTTCATCTAAATATTTCTTTTTTTGCATTCCTCATTGTCTTGTAGGTTGCCCATGAGGAAATTGGAAATATTCTAGCTTTTTTTATCCCTTTTGTAGCCTGCATTTTCCAGGTGGGTGAAATATTGTTGTTTTGGTGAATCATAGTAACCCGCTGGCTTATTTTTTCCTTCTGTTGGAACTGTCGACAAGTTTTTAGATTGTAATTTTGAACCACCAAGTCCTTGGCTCAAGTCTTAGACAATACCAGTCCTTAGTCAAAGAATCTCAGGCCCATCTTGTCCATTCCTCTCATTTTACAGAGAAAGGATGTTGGATTCAGATAGGCAGAGTCCCTGACTGAAGCAGTGGGACCTTTGACAGCAGAACAGAAGCCAGGAACTTGAACTTGACTTCCAAGAAGTGGTAGATGGGATTATCCTGGAGACTGAGTTGGGTCTCTCTAGTGTGAGGCAGCCTGGCCTCTGGTTTATTTCAGGACAATCTTAAGTACAGAAATGCCCTTCTGCAGAAGTAACATCTGTTGAAAAAATGTCTTTTTTAAACATATTACTAGATTAAAAATTATTATTTTTAATAGTAACATCATCGACTCAAATTTGTCTTTAGAAATGAAACAAGTTACAGCATTAACTAGAGTGCTTTCGTTATTATCTAGTTATTTTCAGATAAACTATAGCTCTGTACTTAAAGGTTGGGGTAAAAAGGAGCAGTTGAATACCCTAGAGATAAAGTTAATTCCAATAAAAACCTGATTCTAGTAAAATACTATCCTTTCCCATGGACTAGGAGGCTTATGCTTTTTTGAAATTAAAATTTCTGTTCTCAGGTAACTACCTGTCTTCCACATACACCCTAAAATCACATACTTTAAAGAATTACATGATTGTACAAAAAGAAATTTTCACTATAGGATTGAAATTTTTGCAACACAAGTGTCCCAAACCTTGGATGGGGTTGCCTGCACACCTGTCTGACAGCCTGGTGTTCAGGGGTGCAGGGGCCTCGCAGTCCCACCTCCTGCCCCCAGTTCACATTCCTTCTTAGATAACTCTTGCAATGCAGACTCGTCCCCTTCCACTGAAGCTTGTGCCTTTGTGAGATTGCTCTGTGCTTTAAAGATGTGGCATTTCGTGAACCAAAAGCTCTGTCCACCTTTTCAAAATATGAATGGCCTCTTCTCTGTGTAAGAGCCCTACACAAAATAATCAGCTGCTTTCCCTTCTGATCTTTGCCCTACTCAGCTATTTTGGAAGCTGTAATAAGGGGGATAGCAGGGAACAGTGATCTCTTCTTAGGTAACTGTCACTCAGGAGAGCCAAAATGGTGGAAGCATGCCCTCTCTCTCTGGCTTTCTTGCCTGTCATGTTTCCTAAAGCAAAATTCATGTGTAGGCTGGTCAGTCTTCTTCAGGTGTCTGGACCTCTTCGTCCGGCCTTCTTTCTCTGCGGCCCACAGCCTGGGCATTTTTGTCTGTATTTCTTACATCTTTTAGGAGTGCTGTGCTCTCACTCTTCCTGTATCGTCTATTTCATTTCTCTCATCCAAACCCCCACTTTTATCCAGTGGTGATCCACTGAGTCCAAGGCTCATTATAGTTTACTCAGTTTAGTATGTGTGAAATGACACACATACAATGGCAGGTGAGAGAAATGAACTCGCATCTGACCTTATGGCCATGTTACTACCTCTGACTGGGATTCCTCTTATGTATCATTTCAGTGTTATTTGTACCTGTTCTACAGTCCTGCCAGGACTATGAAGGTGGTGCTGATGCTGCTTTTTATTTGCCTGGGCAACGTGTACCTGCACGGGCTGAGGAACCTCTGGCAAGTCCTTTTCCACATAGGAGTGGCTTTTCTGTCTTCCTATCAGATCCTGACGAGGCAGCTCCAGGAAAAGCCACCTGACTCTGGAGTGTGAGAACATCCTGAGATGAGTGGGTCCTTTGATTTCCTTTGAGGGTCACCTGTGATTCCCTTTTTGCTTCTCAACATCACCTCAAGCTTCCACCCTTGAAGTTCCTTCTACCAGACTGGACTAATAAGCTGAGAATTGGGGGTTTCTAAGAGGTGCAGGTGAAGGCATGGGTTGGCTTGGTACCCAGCCTCTGTCGTGTGCTGAGTGTGGCTGCAGAAGCTCCAGGTCAGAGTGTTTACTGGGGTGGCAGAGTCTGGGGGCGCAGTCAGAAGCAGCATTATGATGGAAGATCAGAATGGAATTGTTTTGGTCTCTTAAATTGAAGGATGCAATAAACCACTAGATTTAGTAACACTAGTTTTAGTAGTTGGCAGTTGTCCCCAATTACTAACGGACCACTTTCACTCTAAATGTGACTTGGTTAGCTGTTTTTGTTTGTTTTTAGAGGATGAGTACAGGGTGAATTTAAAACTTAAAGCTATGGTTTCATAAATACAAACCAGATAGGTTTTGTTTACATTTTCTTTTTAATAATTTGGGTCCTATGCAATACCTTTAAAATATTTAAGTATATTTGAATATATCGAACTTATTTTCATTTATGGAAGGGCAGACTTAAGATGAGAAAATGGTTAGGAAAGCTGAGTTTACTTAGCTGGCATAACCCTTTATGGTGGTGGAACTGTATGGGTACATAAATATTTTGTATTTATTTGCAGGGTATATTTGAATATTTCAAAATTTAATTGAGTAACCAATACTAGTGGAATCCTAAGCTAATAAGCATGACAGAAGTGAGAACTTTAGGATTCCTTATAAGTGACTGCAAAGTGGGTCTGGAAGCACAGGATTCACACAGCAGCCTTGACAGGGTCAGGTGGAGAGGCTGCCGTCTTCCGCCCCATGGGTGGCAGCCGCTTGCCTGTCACTTGAATGATCACAAATCCTCGATCCTGGGTTTGTCCCCAGAAGGTCTCCCAGTCATCTCCATTAGATCAAGGGCCTCATTTTTTTTTTTTTTAATGAGCAAATAATAAGTAGGTGTGAATTTTTAAAAAATCTTTATGAAATGTATCATTAATCCTGTACTCTCAAAATTTCTTTCCTTTCTCTCACTGTCAAAATACCGATTAGTCATTGTTTTCCAGAATGTGCAGTCTCCTGCATTTGTAGACATTTCAGCCTGGCTTGTCCAGTACCATTCTGGAGGCCATTTCTGGAGTTTGCCCTTTGGATTGTTCTTGGTAGAAGTCTGGAATCTGAATAGTTTAATCACAACTGCATGGAATACTTTGGGATGAAATATGTGGCTTTGATAAATTTTTAAAGAGACTATTTTGATAGTTTTTAAAAGTCAAAAGCCTTTGCAGCAGTTATTGAGTTAATAGAGAAAACAAAAATGTCCTTTTAAGTTCACTTGCACTTGGTCATTGTTAATTGGTATATTGTTAGTGAGCTACCCTGGTATCACTTAAAAAATAGTTTATGTGACTGGGAACTGTGTTGGGAAAACTGTTGCCATAGTAATTTTATTTTCTTATAATAGAAATTTTCTATTTTTAAGCAAGTATCTGGATGTGAAAGCTATATTGGCAACATTCTCAGAAACTTCAAAGTTGTCTCTTTACTTCACAACTGTGTAATTTTCTGCCTATCTGGCAGGTGAATTTTCAGACTTTATGGGAGATAATTTTGAAGAGATGGTACAGTAGAATGGTAAGTCAGAAAACAAAGACAAACCCTTTTAGGTTAGAAGCACAAAAAAACGACTTTAAGACTTGGTAAGAAAAGCTTAACCTGTTCTCCTCCAGCCCATGGGGCGGCATTGCCGTGTACCCCGCTCCCCAGGTGCTAGGAGCGCTGAGCCTGTATCCGCACTCAGTGACGAGTGATGAGCGCTAATGCGCTGGTAGACCTGTTACCCGAGTAGCACATTCTGTTGGATGTGCTTTTCCATAGCTGCATGGGATTTGAGATTTACATTTGCAGACGAAAGGGATCAGAGGCACTAAACAAACAGTGCAACATCATGAGCACATAAACACTAACCAAAAGAAGCCTCAGCTCACTGGAGCAAGTGACTCATGATAGGAAAGAAATTCTGGACACTGTGCAAGGGAAATACCAGGCTTGGGGTGGGCCTGATTCAGGCCACTGGCCCCTGTGTCATCCTCGATGCCAGGGAGATGGCTCCACAGCGCAGGCCTCACGCCACCAGGGACTCCCTGCTGTGTGAGCACCTTTGTTTTCCCAGCAGTTAAACGCCACCCGCCAGCTGACCTCACAGGGCCCACTCTAGGACTAGATGAAATAATGTTGAAAACAAAACCTCAGAAGTGCCTTCTGGGATCAGAGGCCACAAGCTCTTGGCCATCAGAATGTGTTCTATCCCACCTGCGGTTTCCAGAAGAAAGGAGGCTCAGTGGACTGGGACAGTTTTCTGACCAAGCCACCAAAGCCCAGAGGGTCCCCTTCCTCAAGTGTGCTGTGAAGCCACAGACTCTGGCTTGCTTTTCCCCAGGCCAGCCTGACCGTGGCAAGACTGTGACCGAGTTTCTGTGTCCTGAATAGAGACTGTCAAGGCCACATTTTGGGCTGTATACCCTCTGGGGACTTAGAAAGCCACTGTCTGCAGTGGCCAGAATGTGCGTGGGGCCCCCTGTCATCTGCAAACTCTGTGGACAGGCATCAAGAATCAAGGCCTGACATTTTAAGGGGTGGGAAACGTGTCAGGATGAGTGCTGAGATGAAGGCATGTAACCACCATGCTTGTCCTCCTCACTTTGAGCTCCCTTTTCCTAGGTGCCCCCATTCTCCAGATCTCCTCTGCCTTTCTACCTCTGCTCCACACCCCTTTCCTGGGAGCAGAATCTACAACTGGAGTCTCTGGAGGGGCTAGAAAGCTACCTTAAGTGTCATCGGTATGGGGTGTGTAGGAACTTTAAGTGGGAACAGATTGCTCTGGGGCCCTCCCTTGCCCCGAGTCCCCCAAGGAGCACCTGTGTGTATCTGGGACTGTGTCATGGAAGGACTAGCACTTTTGTGGTCAGCACATCTCAGAGCCAAAGGTAGCAGTAAGCAAGGTCAGCTGTTTAGGGCACAGGAAGCAGGCAGTATGCCAGGAGCAGAGCTGGGGGTTCTCTATTGGAGGACAACACGCAGTTCGTCTGCGGCACGTGGGGAGCACGTTGCACCTTTGTCCTGGGTGCCATTTCTGTCCTTCACTGTGGCCTGGGGGGGCCTGGCCCTGGAGCCTGTGGCTTGCGGTGCATGTAGGCTGAGAACTGGCAGAATGGCAGTGTTCATGGATTCCCGACGTGTCAAGCCCTGCTCTGACGTTGCCTTCCAGATATTCCGGTACAGAATCCCACACAGGTGCAGGGCGGCTCTGCTGAGCATGGGAGTGCTAGTAAGGTGGAGGTAGAGAATATGCGCCCTTGAGAGATGAGGGAGGGGAGGAGTGTCCTGGTCAGTTGGTCAGAAGGTCTGGAGAGTGACTTGGTTCTTCCACTCAGGCCTGTGCCACAGTGGGCAACCTAGATTCAGTATCTGTAACATCTTTGGCCTTCTGGCCGGCTGTCACAGGGGCCGAAGGGGGTAGTGAGGAGACTACAGGGTGAATCCGTGGTTTCAGTGTGGATGGGCTTTGGGCTTATGTGGAGGCTCTGCAGGCTTCAGGCAGCATAACCATGCCTTTGAGCTTCCACACAAAAGGGCAGCTTTTGATAATGTAATGTAAGTGACCTTTATTTTTTACTTCAGAAAGGTAGAGGAGGCCTCTCTTCCTCCGTCAGAGCTATTCCTGCCTTCCAGGCACAGAGCCCTGGGGACCGCAGGCTTTAGGCCTGCTAAAGGTCCCGGGTACCTGGTTCTGCAGTTTGGACCAGACCTCCAGGTCTGTTCTGACCCAGATGTGAAGAGCTGATTCTCCATCTGAAAGCAGTGATGTCATACTGCTGTTGCTGGGGAAACCTCACTGGCAGGGAACTTGTGGAAAAGGACTTGACAGTAAAATCTGGGAATGGCCGGATACAGAAACATCTGCCCATGTGCACCTGGGGCGGAGTGGTTGCCCACAAGCGCCTTTTATTTAGGGTAAAATTACTAAATCCATTCTGTTCCTCCAATCTGTGCTTGATACCTCCTTTCACTCTTCTGTGATTCTGGGGTTGCCTCAAAAGTATTGTTTAATAAAGCCTTCGTATCATTTGAACCTCCTCCCCCCAGAATTCTGTTTTGCTATTTTAAAGATTGAGGCTGATTTAACCAGGGCAAAACCATTTACTTCCCATGTTCATTTTGAAGGCTTGATGTCCCCGTAACACAAGCTTTTTACATTTTCATGTAATAATAAAGATCTATTTTGAGTAAAAGATGAGTATGTTTTAACAAACTTTCACAGAGTAGTAAAACCTAAACTTATGTTAATATATGTAAAGAATGTCGTATTGCTGTTTATATACTATGTATATGTAAATTAAATGAGGTGGCTTCAGAAGTGTGAGAAGAATAAACCTAAGGTGCTTATTAACTTGTATTTGTGTGAAAAATTATTATGACTTGAGTCCATTTTCCTACTTGGTGTGACGTGGCTCTGGCATAATGGTGTGTCTCTAAAAAGGACACAAAAGGGAAATACGGTTCTGTGAGTCCACACAAGTGCAAAACCCCCAACAGTCTTCGTTCAACGGTAAACCCTCAGACTCTGAAACATAGCCTGGAGTCCAGGAAGAGCCTGGCATAACCAGAGTGGCGGTGCCACACCGCCCTGGAGGCTGGGCGACCTGCCTTTGGTCCAGGCTCTGCCCTGTCTGTGCAGAGCTGAGACTCTCAGGACCAGCCTGTCATGAAGTGGTCACTAGGTGGCGCAGCAGCCAGCCACACCCTGGAGTTCCCATCGGGACTGCATCCATTTGCATAAGTCATTCCTGTAGCAGCTGATAAAATTCCCAGAAACAAATTCACCAACCTTTCCTGACCACTTTAAACACATGGGGTCATGGGTACCCCAAGCTTCTCTGCAATCTTCCTTGAGTTCAAATCTTTTGGAAGAGGGCACAGACTTTCAAAATAGACCCCTGAGCTATTGACTTCTGGGATTTTGGAGCGGTCTGTCTTTATTTTTCACTAAAACTTATTTACTTATGCATGCAAGAACTGGGCACAGGCCAGAGAGCAGGGGGTGAAAGGATTCACCAGAGACAGAGTGGGGAGCAGAACAGGCAGACTGATTGAAATACACTGCTGAGGGGAGCAGTGGGCAGGACAGGAGAGGTCTGCAGCACCATGTGGATCACCCCCTGCCCGAATCAAATTCCCATGACAGTGGGTGGCAACAGCTTGATAGCACTGTATTTAACTCCTGCATCACCAGGGAGGTCCCCCCCCCCCGCTGGCTGTCTTTAGATACCATCTGGTGCAACCCCTTTGTCGCTTTAGGTGTGGAATTGAGGCCTGTCATAGGCTGCCAGTGACAGGGTTGTGCAGAGCTCTGTCCTTTGGGTTGGGAACAAGGTGTTTGGATAGCACTTGGCAGCACCCACAAAGAATAAAAGGGGATCTTGGCCCAGGAAGGGTCTTTCTCTGCCAGGAGGGCTGGGTGCCAGTTCAAGCTGATGAATTGCTTTCTTTTTTCTTGGGCCCTCCCCCACCCCAATGGGGCCAGGTAGCAGCCAGGCACCCAAGAGCAATGCCCACGGGGGAGTGAAGCTTGGAGGAGGCATCCACCTGGGTGTACCTGGTGGGGTGTGAGGGCCACCCCTGCAGACTCAGCTCAAGGTTGCCCCCGATGTGCAAGGTGAAGTAAGCAATCAGAGAGCACCTACGAGAGTATCTTTGTGACCTCAGATGAAGAGTGGTTTTCAAACCGGCCAGTCAAGCAGGGCTACAACCTTCCAGGCAAAATGAGTAATAGATTTGATCACAAATAAGGGTTTCATGGCAAAGCTAAAAGAATGGGGGGCCTCATTCTTTCTTGTGGCAAAGTGGGTTAAAGCACAGCCAGGGCACGCAGACCTCTCCTGATCCGCCCGCTGCTCCCCTCAGCAGTGTACTTGGTCAATCTGCCTATCCTGCTCCCCACTCTGTCTCTGGTGAAGCCTCTCACCACCCCTGCACCTCTGGCCTGTATCCCAAGTCTGTATGCATAAATATATAAATCTTTTTTTAAAAAGTTATAAGAATGTGGAGGAAATATTTTCAATGTCTAAAACCAATAAGGAATGAACTATACAAACAATTCCTGTAACTCAGCAAGACCAGTAACCTCCATAGAAAGGCATTTTCTGGAAGAGACTCCCCCTCCAAAGGCAGTAACTATATGCTATTTAAAGTTACTAAAAGCAGACATTTGTATTAAAATTCTAAGATACCACCTAATGCCTGTTCCTTTGGCAAAATTTTGCTGGCACCAGGTGTTACAGGGAACAAGGGGACATTGGACTCGTGCACAAGAATCTGAAGAGTAAGAGCACGGTTATGGAATGCATTGTGTCCTCCCCAAATTTAAGTCGAAGTGCTAACCCCCATGCTGCCCCTATACCTCACAATGTAATCATAACTGAAGAATCATTTCAAAGAAAAAGTTAATAGCATGTAAACGCCCACATTGTTAGCACGATTAACTGTAAAAGGGGCTCTAAGGCGGTAATTAAGGTAAAATGAAGTCATACAGACAGGCCGAAAGCCAGTATGACGGGTGTCCTTACGAGAAATATTCAGGACATAGATGCACACTAGAGACCATCGGAACACAGAGGGAAGACCCCCGTCGCCACATTACCAAGAGGTCCCGTTTTGAGTCATCCCAAGCCGGGTCGGTTCTCCGTCGTTTCTAGCAATTGGAAGGAGAATTTTGGAGTCCTTGGCGTCATTCTTACAGGCTTTGATAGTAAGCAGGTAAACAAGCCAGCAGGGAGACAGCAGCTCGAGCCCCCTTCCCCAGAGGGGCACCACCCTTTTATCCCCTCCCTCCTAGGCACAGGTGTTCACACTTGCATGTACCTTAGCTCAAGTGTCCATAATCGGGTGGGTGTGCCCCAGGCTCACCTGCCGCTGCATTAACAAGACACAGGCCACAGGTGATAGCCACAGAGGCCAATGGCTGAAAGCCTACAGGCCCTAAGGGAAACTAGTCAACACCTTGATTTCAGATTTTCAACCTCCAGAACTGTGAAGAAATAAATTTGTCATTTAAGCCTTCCTGCCTGTGGTACTTTGCTGTGGTGGCTCCGACAGGCTCCTCCAGTCACCACCCAGATTTACCCACCGGTGCGCGCAGGTCATGATGTGGAAGATTCGTGCCTGGTTCTGTCCCTGGGGGACTCTTACACATGTCATCCTTAAGGAGACTCATGTGAAGGAAATGTTTTCTGAGGCATTGTTTGTGGTGATGAAGGAACAGTGTGGTGTGCATGCTGAGGCGGATCTCCAGCCCTCGCTACAGGCCCAAGCAGCAGGTGTAAAGGAAACGCGGCAGCATGGGAGGAGCGATACGAACTGACTGGAAAATGCATTTATGAGATTGGAAGCACATGTCTGCAGAATATTTTGTAAGAATATATTAGTTGTGGGCCCTCCCTGGTGGCTCAGCAGGTGAAAGCACAGCACTAAGAGTCTAAGGCCACTTCAGCATGAGTTTGATCCCAGTCCGCCCTGAGGTGACCCACATGGCCCAGC